CATCCACCCTGTCCTTCAACACTGCCAGGGAGCCAGGGGCAGCCACAGCTTTTCTGGGCAACCTGTGCCAGGGCCTCAGCACCCTCACAGGGAAGGATTTCTGCCTCCGATCTCATCTCCATCTCCCCTCCTGCAGCTTCAGGCCATTCCCCTTGGCCTGTCACTCCCTGCCCTTGTCACCAGCCCCTCTCCAGCTTTCCTGGAGCTCCTGGAGGGACTGGAAGGGGCTCTAAGGTCTCCCCGCAGCCTTCTCTTCTCCAGGCTGAACCAGCCCAACTCTCTCAGCCTGTCTCCATAGCAGAGGTGCTCCAGCCCTCGCATCATCTCCGTGGCCTCCTCTGGACTCGCTCCAACAGCTCCATGTCCTTCTTGTGCTGGGGACCCCAGAGCTGGATGCAGCACTGCAGGTGGTGGTCTCACAAGAGCGGAGTAGAGGGGCCGGATCACCTCCCTCAACCTGCTGGTCACACCTCTTTTAATGCAGCCCAGGACACAGTTGGCTTTCTGGGCTGCAAGCGCACCCTGCCAGCTCATGTTGAGCTTCTCATCAATTAGTACCCCCAAGTCGTTCTCCTCAGGGCTGCAGACTAGCCTGTAATGCAGACTAGTCTCATCATGTCCTGCATGACAGGTATAGATGCAGCATAGTATAGGGTGAATGTTTCTGGTGATAGAAATAATTCTCTGAAATGAATGCAGAAAAAGTGTTATGTGATAAATAGTCTTGGGTTGAATAACAGCAGGCAAACTCTGCTCTGATTTTACTATTCTTATTGCCATATTTTGGTAGGATCCCAAAACTTTGCTAAGCTCTAAAAATCTTCTCTTTTTAAATTTTTTTTGTTTTATTTTTTCCCTGCAATGTACAGAATGTGGGAAGAGCAACACATCAGTTCTGAAGACAGTATGTGATCACACATTCTCTTATGCATAAACAAACTCAAGGTTTTTGTTGTTTCTCCATTTGAAAATCATAAGAGCAGACTTCAAACGGTGTTAGTGCCTCAGAGTAGCGCAGCTCAATGTATCAGACCTTTGGGACAAAATTTACACTGCAGTGGGTTACAGTAATGAAAATCCTGTGGGAAAATCTCTCGTCCTGCCACAGCTATTTCCAGCTCTTATTTTTCTGTGTCACTCTTTGCCTTTGCTATCTTTCATTCCTTACACAGAAATGCCGATCAATGTGAGCGCTAAGCTAGTTCCCAAATTGCTTACTTCAGGAGGAGAGTCTTGGCAAAGGAAAACAAATACAGGAGTAGAAGAAGTGTTACCTTTGAGCAATGCTGTGAAAAGTTTTGCCTGGCCAACAAAACAGTGGAAGTAAACAGGCCCTGAGAAAAGGACGCTCAGCTCCTTGTGCACTTTTATTCTGTCAGTAATTTCTGGCACAGCTGAAAAGATTCTTCTTGCTTTTCTTCTTAATGCCTAGCAAGATGCATAAAGAAAAGCTTTCTTCAACGGGAAAATATTACTGTGAGTTTTCGTGTGATATCCATTGCTGTGGTGTAAAAATCCAAAGATCCCCTAAGCAAATCTGAAAACGAAGGGCCAAAAATACCTAAACCATGACTTCTGTAGCACTTGTGCGTACTCATCAGTAGAGTGGGAGGGGTATGGGTCATGGCTTAGCAGAAGTGGCATGACTCTGGGACATGTTAAATGGGAATTTTTTTCAAAGCATAGGTATCTCTTCTTCCCTTCTGGTGCGTGCTGGCTTTGAAGAGCTGATAATGGAAGGTTTAGTTATGCCTTAGAGGTTTTGCCATCATACAAGCAGGGTTTTATTTTCCTATAGGTGATACACAGTCATTAACAAGACAAAACACATTTTTTTTTGACTGGATAATATTTCAAAACATGTAGGAATATTAAGCATAGTTCTCCGGGAGTATCACATTCCCTCCTTTCCCCCCCCCTTGAATGCCTATGCCTCATTTCCTTCTCACCTCCAAAACTTGTATGAATAGTTGTTCATTTTTAACTTTTTTTTTTTAAGGCTAATGATTCTAAACAATGCTTCTTAGTGCTTCCTAATAATATAAATGGAAATGAGGCTTTACAGGGAGTCTAGCTCAAGGGGAAGACTGGCTAGACTTTCATAATCGGACATTGCAGTCGAGCACATACATAGAGTACAGATGCCCACTGTCTTGTGGATAATATCTGATTACATATATTTAAACAAGCATAAACGCCACCAGCTGTTAAAATGAAGATTTGAAGGAATTTTTTGTTTTCAGGATACTGTAGGCGAAACTGTACTCAGTAAAGTATTTCCAGGTTATCCTTCATTGGCAAGATGAGAGTGGGAATGCGTGAGGCAGCGATGGGTTTTCCTTATCTACAGATTCACTTGCACTGCCTGGTTTGTTTGGCTTTGTTGTTGCTGGTCTTCAGTTTCCTTTCTTAGGAACCCACTGTAGCTGAGTTTTGCTGAATTTAAGTTCTGTTAAATCATAATCACACCAGTAAAAAACAATACATATGCTGTACTTAGCTTCTCTTTGAACAGGACTGGTTTTAACTCCTAACCTGTGCGTCGTCCTCACTTTTGCTTTTGACTAGACACATCTGTATTTCTCTGCGGTCTGGAATGGAACTGAATACCCTAGACCTTCAGGGTAACTGAAATATGTAGTTATTTCAGGCTTAACCTCTTTCTCTGATAAGCATCAGTTTAGATTTGAGTACAAAATAGTTTCCTTAGCCCTTCAGATTAAAAACAAACAAACAAAAAACCCGCACAGCTTTTGTAGAAGAGCCCACCTATTTCATACTTCTATCAAAGCAAATTTGTCTTTAAAGTTTCTGCGTCAGGCTTTCACGAACTCCATTGTTCTGCCTGGAGCTTTGGGGCAGCCCTTGGCCCTGTCGAAGGTCTGCGGAGTGCTTTT